TGAGAATTTGTTAGTGGATTAAGTTATTTGAAATCGTTCTGATTATATGGGGTTTGCTCATTTTGTTGCAGAACTTAATTTCAGCGTGCGTCAGCAATTACCGTTTACTATGTCTGCAAAGTTGAATTTTTTTATTTTTTATTTTATCAAAGGGTTTCAAATGTATTTGAGTGATCAAGTTCTATATTCATGGTAGTAATGGATGTGGGAGCAAAAATGTGGGGAGATCGGCATTGCCCCCGAATTGACATTTTTGGGCTAAAAGTTCATATAGAACAGAAGCTCGGTGGACAGAAGGCTGGAGAGTATTTTAATCTTTTGAATGGGTATTTAAGTCTGAAGCTTAGCAAATCAGAGTTCAATAAGCTCTGTATTGGGTTGTTGGGGCGAGAGGATATCACTCTTCATAATGGGCTAATTCAAGCAATTATCAAGAATGCATGTGTTGCTAATATTCCTCCACCTAAGTATGGCAAATCGAAAGCTTATGAAACGGTCTAATGGCTACCAAAGAAGTATTCTTCAGTCGTTCTGTAGAGTGTGATCGGAAATTCGACTACCGCAACCGAAAGAACAAACAAAAATAACAGAAAATAAAAGCAGAAGANATTTTTGGTAAAATTCGAATTTTGACTATAAAGTTCGGCTTGTGGACTTATTTTGATCATTGCGTGGTATAATAAAATTCTCTAAACTTCATAAACGTTTTCTTTGTATTTTTTCGGCGTTAATCTTGTGTTCTTCCCTGTGAATTTGCTAGTAGAACTAACCTGCAGAATAATCACTATTCTGCCCGGCATCAATTTCACATCTAAATGGCTTTCAAAGTTCTGGGCATAAGTCTAGTGAGCGGAGGCTTCTGATAGGTAGTTCGGAGGCGAGTGAGTCAATTGTCCTCTCTTTAGACGAAATAGGTAGGGCCATCATGTTGGGAGAGAATATTTAGAGATCGCCCACCCCCTGTAGACACTTTCATTAAGCGTGGGGCTTTTGAATATGCTTTAACCATCACCTCAGAAAAACTAGTTAGGTATACAGAGGTCTTTAGGATCCCTAGCAACATAAACCTTATTATTCCTGAGCCAGTGAAAGGGCTTGCTATCCAAGGCCGTGCTGCGTGGCTATAAGCGAAAATTTGCTAAAGCGGGTCTTAGGCTCCCATTCTACCCCTTTTTTAGGTTAGTTTTGCTTTCGTTCCGGTTGGCTCCGACCCAATTCCGTCCAAACTTATGGGAGCAGATGGTTGGGTCATGGATGCTAGGCGTCAGGCCAGCCTAGGCATTGATATGCCCTTTAGCATTTTTCATTCTTTGTACTTCCCTAAGAGTGTAGCTGGAGGTGATAAGAGTAAGGGGTAGTACTCCTTGACTCCCTGGGGAACCCACTCACCCTTCATACTAGATATGCCCAGCTCGGTTAAGGAGTGGAGAAAGTCCTGGTTCTGGTATCGGGAAGGTGGGATACCATGGATGGAGACCCCATGGTTCCTCTTAGAGTTCCAACAACCTACTCCTTTGCCAGTAAGTTCCTTCGCCTAGTTACTCGTCGTTTCAGTATGAGTTCTTACAGATTAACACTTTCTTTGTTTGTAGGCTCGCTGCTGAAGAAAAAATTTCTACTGAAGAGTGGGACATTATCAGCCACAACTAATAACAGCCACTCAAGGACCGGAGCTACACGAAACTAATGGACAAGAACACAATTCACCATATACTGACTGACGAGCTCCCGAGGTAAGGCGTTTGCACTTTTGGGTTCCATTCGATGTTCTGCTAGAATGTGCTAACTCATTTATCCTCTTTTAGACGATTTCTTGAAGAAAAAAGCACTTGGGCTAGATTTTGCTACAATTCGACGTAGTGTGGCCGAATCTAAAGCCCTTAAAACTAGTTCGGCTGCCTATAAAAAGCAGGTGAAAAAATTAAACTTGTTAATTAAGAGGCAATTGCCTTCGGAAGATGACAAAGCGGGGGAGGACACTTCTCTAGTGAAAAAAAGAAGAACTGGCCCATCTGGGGCGTCATCTTCCGTTGCTACAATGGTAAAGCCTCTTCCACCCCTCCCATTCCTACCAAGGTGATTGTGGTCATAACTTCTGAAGCTCTAATGGGTGTGGTAATGGAAACCACTCCAGGGCCACCCCGAAAAAGGGTAAAGAATTCTGCAAATCCCCCTCTTCGCAATAAGACGGTAGACTTAGGACTCTTCGATGTCGTTCTGGAGATGCTGCCTTCTGAGATTGCTTCAGCCGCTCGAACCCACAGCAAGTTTTGAACTGCGGAGTGGTAGACCCACATCGTTTCCTGTGAAGTCAAGGATTTATTAGCGGGTAACAATGCCTGTGTGGCTCCCACACTAAGTTTTGGCACGGCGGCGGAAGATCTGGTTCAGACACTTGCCAGAAAAATGAGGAGTTCAACCAAAGGATGAAGGCCTTGAAGAGATGGGAGGACGAGGTAAAAAAAGGCCAATGGAGAGACAGAAGAGGCTAAGGTAAAGAGGACTGAGGCTGAGGTAAAACTAGATTCTCCTGAGATACAAATAAATCAACTGAAGAATGAACTTCATGAGTTGGTATCCCAAGTGGCTGAACTTACTAAGCAGATAGATTAGTCCAATGAACACCAAAGGATCGCCTCTGAGGCCTTCGAGGGGGCCAACAAGAAAAGGGTTGAACTGAGGATGATAACCAAAGCCTAGAAAGAAGAAATAGAATCTCTAAATGAGGAAGTTAAGATAATAGGCAAAGCATCTATACAGAAATACATCGATAACTTCGACCAAACAAACGAGTACAACGACTTCGCCAACTACTGGGCTTCATGGAACGCCCAACTGATGTTATCTCACCTGAGGGAGGTCTATCCTGATCGGTATAATTTTTCATGGAAAATGTTGAAAATTTGGTGTCCGTTTGGCTTCGTTTTTTATGAAAATTGTCCATTAAAATGATAATATTTTCTACCATTGAGTCTAAAATTTGTTCCAATTGAAAAAATAAAAATTGAAAAAAAAAATATACTGAATACCATTCGTTTTGCTTTGTTTTGCATGTAAATTGTCAATAAAAGTGAAAAAAAATTTACCATTGTGTCTATAATTTTTT